GGGGATGGCAGGAGGGACAGGAGCTGTGGGCTCACATGGGCACAGATGCATGGGGACATGCCACTCTGCCTAGCCACCCCTCCCTGGAGATACTGCCCCTCGGAGTCATGCCGCCCTGGCTGAGCCCTTCTCCTTGCAGATGCCAACCCCTGGGGATGTGCCACCCTGGCTGAGCCCTTGCCCTTGGGATTGCCCACCCCTGGGGACATGCCACCCTTCCTGAACCTCCCCTTTCCCCCCTCTCCCAGCGCTTCCAAGAGGTGGAAGAAGCCCACCTGCGCCACATGAAAGGTCTCATCGGCTCCTACTCACACTCTGTGGAGGACACCCACGTCCAGATTGGGCAGGCAAGTCCCTAGGGGAGAGGTGACAGACTGGGGACAACCCTGAGCTGTCCCCCTATGGGTTTTTTTTTAATATATTTTTGTCCAGGTGCATGAGGAATTCAAGCAAAACGTGGAGAACATCGGCACTGAGATGTTGCTGAGGAGATTTGCTGAGAGCAAGGGCACAGGGCGAGAGCGACCAGGTGAGACTGGGGGGACAGCACCCACGTTTGCACGAGGGCCTTGTGTGGCCCTTGTGCAAGGATAGAGTCACTTTTCTGGGCTTGATCCCACTCTCCGTGGCAGGAGCCCTGGATTTTGACGAGTACCGGTTGGCCCCAGCGCAGGAAGGCAAGTACGTCTGCATCCAGCAGCCCCCCTGCCCCCCAGGGGGATTTTGGGGTCTAGGGGGGGATTTTTGGGGTGTGGAGGGGGCTGCTCACTGCTTTGTGCCCTCCGTGCCTGCTCCCAGGACCCAAGAGGAGCCGCAGCAAAGCTTTCCGGATCCCCGGGTTGGGCCGGAAGGAGAGGGATCGCGATGCTGGGTGAGACCCTGCTCTGCCTCATCCCTGCATCTCCATGTCCCACATCCCAGTGTCCCTGCATCTCCATGTTCCCCATCCCAGTGTCCCTGCATCTCCATGTCCCACATCCCAGTGTCCCTGTCAAATTATTTACTTACTTTTGTTGTCCCTGCATCTCCATGTCCCACGTCTCAGTGTCCCTGCATCTCCATGTCCCACGTCCCAGTGTCCCTGCATCTCCATGCCCCACATCCCAGTGTCCCTGCATCTCCATGTCCCACAGCCCAGTGTCCCTGCATCTCCATGTCCCACAGCCCAGTGTCCCTGCATCTCCATGTCCCACAGCCCAGTGTCCCTGCATCTCCATGTCCCACATCCCAGTGTCCCTGCATCTCCATGTCCCACATCCCAGTGTCCCTGCATCTCCATGTCCCACATCCCAGTGTCCCTGCATCTCCATGTCCCACGTCCCAGTGTCCCTGCATCTCCATGTTCCCCATCCCAGTGTCCCTGCATCTCCATGTCCCCACATCCCAGTGTCCCTGCATCTCCATGTCCCCACATCCCAGTGTCCCTGCATCTCCATGTCCCC